ATGTACAGACAAAATTTGACCTACACCTCACCGGAACTGACTTTTTTTGACAAAATGCACGAAAAAATGACAATTTTTAATGTTTTTTAGCATTATCGCACTGCACATATTTTCAAAATGAGTTTGTAAATATATCAAAATTTTCGAAATTTAATTATCTTTCACTTTTATAAATGCAAAATTTGCGTTAAAGCTATAGATTTTGAATTATTAGCGATTTTATCATGAAAAAACCGTATTCGACAAAGGATAATAAATGTTTCAAAAATTCATATCTCTATCAATATTGATCGTATAAAAAAAATGAAAAAAGGAAATTGTTCGTAATTAAATTGTCTACAACTTTTATTTCAATCATTTTCCGATCCGAATCGGCATTTTTGAGCTATCGACGAAAAATGCATGACGCGTTCGAGTGTTTTTCATTTTTCATAAAATAGTCCTTATTTTAAAAAAATCTAGTTCAACTGCAGTTGGTCGTACAAAATTTTTGTATAGACCTTTTTTGTGTAAAATTTAATTCTCTACAATTTTCGCCTCTTCACTTTTTCCCCTAAAAGTGAAACTTTTTTAGTTATTGGCGAAAAACCGTTTTTTTGGACCTTTTTTGGGCCCTAATTTTCGCAACAACCATGATACGGGGATGAGCTTTTTGTACCTTAATTTTAACCCAAAAGACACCCCTCCACGAAGTGGCAACATTTCTAGTATTTTTTCCTATCTTAGTCAAAATTTCGGCTCATTTGACTGGGCTATTGCAGCGTCATAAAGTTTGAACCTTTTTTTTTAATTTGAAAAAAAAAACAAGTCGCTACGATTTTTCTTTACAAAGTTACAGCATTTTAAAGTAACCATTGTATTTTTCTCAAGTATGATCGGCATTACTCGATGTACGCTATAGGGAGGTTGGCGATCGGATTTTGCACACCGTGTGTGTAAGTGTATGTTTTACACACGCCCGCACGCATACAATGTGCAAAATTCAATCGCTAACCTCCCTATAGTGCATCGATAGTAATGCCGACCATACATGAGAAAAACACAAGGGTTACTTTAAAATGCTGTAACTTGTAAAAAAATCATATAGCAACTTGTTTTTTTTTTTTCAAAAGAAAGGTTTAAACTTTATGATGCTGCAAACCGCATTTCGGAGACAAATTTTAGCAAGTCCGTACATTTCGTCAAATTTTGAAATTTTCTCATGTAGGGTCGATATTATCTGATGTGCATCACAGGGAGGTTGACGATCGGATTTTGCACATTGTGTGCGTGCGGGCGTGTGTAAAACATACATTTACACATACGATGTGCAAAATCCGATCGCCAACTTCCTTATAGTGCACATCGGGTATTGCCGACCCTACATGAGAAAAATAAAAGGGTTACTTTAAAATGCTGTAACTTTGTGAAAAAAATCGCAATGACTTGTTTTTTTTTTTTAATTAAAGAGAAAGATTCAAACTTTATAACGCTACAAACTAACCGCATCTTCGAGAAAAATTTTAGCAAGTCCGTGTACATTCCGTCAAACTTTACAATTTTCAGTAATAGCAAACATGCTTTCAGATTTAAGAGTTTACAGTAGCAGAGATGCATTAAATTTAAAATCGACCCACAGTACCTTAAAGTAGAGATTTTAAACTTTCATTTGAAAAAAAGTTCATCATCCTATGATGATTTTTTGCGGAGTTACCGTTGACTAAAGTTGAGTTGGAGCTAAAGTTGACCAATTTTTAAAAATTTTTCTATGCCATAATTTTTTTGAGCAGTATAGATATAAAATGTAAGCGCGCCAGCTACGAATTTGTAGTAAAAACGAAAAAAATTAAAAAATTACATTTTTTGGACCGTACAGCTGTCATCTGACTTAAACATTTCATTAGTATAAAATTTCTGTAGTTTATATGTACAAAATGAGTAACTCGCGCACATTGGATTACATGAATGAATAATACAAAGCCTTTCGAGCTACGATTGAAAGCGTAGAAAAAATATCGTTACTGCAATTTATGGTAATTTGTATGAAATTAAATTGAAAGGCCGAGAAACAGTCAAAACAGGATCTTGGTGCTCACAATATTTTTGTGTAAATTTTACATACATATTTTATTTCCTCGAACTGCACGCTATTACTGTCGGTCACAACGCAGTTCTTACTTGAAACAGAATAGTAATATCACATTATTAAATTGATAATCAATTTAATAAGTGATACACACCGGCATCTAATGAATTTCTCTCTTCCCCACGACGGGACATAAATATTTTTTTACTGCAAAAAATATTACCTAGCCAGGGTTTTGAATCTGGGCCTCCCTATATTCCGTGTGAGTGCTTAGCCTAAAATTCGTATGCTTCGCTAAGATACAAAATGGTAAATAGAGCAAAAATTGCGTGTAATAGTAAGTGCCGGATTTTGCAAAAAATGGTTCAATATGTTAGATTAGAACAATGTACGTGTTTAAGTGAAACAACGATATTGTAAGTTCCGTTTAACGTCCCGTCGCTCGCGAGCACTTATCTTTGTTTAACATTTAATAAACAATAAGAATGAAATTATTCCAAGAGCGTTGCGAGCGTTAAATGAAATGTACCCTGAAATTGAAAAGTTTGTTTTACCGACTTCGTGCAAATTTAGCCGACCTGCCAGCATCGCCTTAAAACATTAAAACTTCTACCTCAAATCCTTTTTTGGTAAAAGGTGTAGGAAAAACGATATTTGGGGTGGGACATTAAATTGCCCACTCTGTATATTTATCTCGTTTTAAATGTAAAAATTTGTAAAGATTTCAAGCAATACAAACAAATCTAAAGTTAATATTTAAAAGTCTGTGAAAATACAGTCTAGTATCACATATACATTATTGGTAATAGTTATTAGGTGCACATTTTTCTCAATGCTTCGCCGTGAGCGTAACAATTACAATCGACGCGTGATGCTGTCTTTTCTTCGCCACTTCATTCATCATTAAATTACGAGATATACACTTATGCAAATCTTTATTAATTAATTTCTTATTACACTGTGAAACAAAATTTGATCTTTTTTTGCATCACGAGTATGAATAGTCATTTCCAATGTATTTTTGTCTGCTAAGCACGTTAGCAACAGTTGACTATTACATCACAATTTTGAGAAAAATGGCGTTAAAGAAGTCGAGAATGACGCTTTTGATAGTTTTCAAAACGTTCCAGAACCGAAAGCTAATTTTTTTGCTCATTTTCGTTAATGTCACATGAAAGTGTCAACTTATAGTTTTAAAATACATTTTGGTTCATTACAGTATCTTGTTTCCGATTTCTTGTTTCGGAGATATAACAATTTGAATATATAGTTTGTAATACAATTCGACAAAATTTAATTTTTTTTTATCACGAGTATGAATAGTCATATCCGACATATTTTTACCAGCTAAACACGATCATTGAAAAGTTGGCTATCACGTTTTGAGAAAAATGAAGTTGTCGTTTTCGGTCCCTTCGATATATTTTTTTTTAAATTGTGATGTGATAATCAACTTTTGCCAACAGATTCGTGTTTAGCAGGCAAAAATACGTCGAAAATAACTATTCACATTCGCGATGCAAAATTCAACAGTGTTATTGAGAAAATCGCATAACAGAAAAGGATTTTTAGTTTAATCTGCTCTATTAAAAGCTAGTGCCTTGATAATTACCCAATACTCTATATATTTTATAAGCTACTATTTATATAATTATTATATTTTGCTTCAGATTCCAGCAAAACAGGATATGGAAGTAATTAAAATCGGTGGACCCGTTTATCGAATCGGTGTAGGTGGCGGCTCAGCAAGTTCTGTAGAAGTGCAAGGTGATAACAGCATGGAATTGGACTTCGGTGCTGTGCAACGTGGTGATCCTGAAATGGAACAGAAATTGAATCGCGTTGTACGAGCATGTGCAGAGATAGGTGATGATAATCCAATTCTTAGCATCCACGATCAAGGTGCTGGTGGCAATGGAAACGTTTTGAAAGAGTTAGTTGAGCCTGCCGGTGCTGTGATTTTCACGAAGAAATTTGACCTTGGCGATCCTAGTATCAGTACGTTGGAGCTTTGGGGTGCAGAATATCAAGAAAGCGATGCAATTTTATGCAAACCGAAAGACAGCGATTTATTAAAGAAAATCGCTACGCGTGAAAAGTGTCCAATTAATTTTGTTGGCACTGTCACAGGAAATGGAAAAATCATCGTTTCTGAGGAAGAAAATTGTGATACTTCAAAATATCTTAATTATGAAGATAAGAACCTAAGCAGTAGTAAGCATCCAGTGAATCTAGAGCTAGAGGTTATTCTTGGAAAAATGCCTCGCAAGGTTTTCAATTTGCATGACATGCCGGTGCAAAGATTTCCAATGAAACTGCTTGATGGATTAACTGTGCTTAACGCGTTGGACAGAGTTTTACGGCTTCCTTCAGTGGCTAGCAAGCGGTATATTTTGTTTTTAATTGCATTATTATTTACTAATACAGAAAGAGAATAAAATTTTTTATACGTGCTTTCTTGCAGAAATGGGAAGTATCATGTTATACTTGTAACGCCGTTACTGTTTTCATTACTTTTTTCTATTAATAACGGTAGTAGTCCGGGAGGCAGCTGGCTTTTTTTTCACTCATTTCACCAAACTTACTTTTAGAATTTTATCGTTATATTGAAGTAGATGATTGTTGAAATGTCGGTCTGGCAGTGTTGCTGCGAGATGGGACAAGACGGTACTCCCACAACCTTGTAAAAAAAACCAATGCACTCACGTTATAGTACCAAGGCTAGAACTTTTTTTTACTAATTATTGACTTTATTAAAAATGATATAATCACAGTCTAGCAGTGGTCCGTCAGGACGTGACATGATGGCAGGCTCTCAACTGTGTAAAAAAATAATGCTTTAACGCAAAGTACCAAAGTTGAAATTTTGTGTGATGACAATTAATAGTAATGTAAGAATGTCAATTACGGTCAAAGCGGATCTTGATGTTTACTTAATAATATTTATTCGTGAATTTTACAATTTTCAGTTCAAATGCAAATTTCGCGCCGAATATTGTCGGTCTTAAAACGCAGTTCTAAACTGACTCCGGTGTATATAATATTACATGTTAAATTGACGAGCAATTTAATAATTTTGATACTAATGAGCATCTTTGATCGTAATTGACATTCTTACATTACTATTAATTGTCATTACAAAAAAATTTCAGCATTGGCACTATAACGTTAGAGCATTATTTTCTTACAAAGTTGAGGGCATGTCATCATGTCGCGTCCTGACGGACTGCTGCCAGACTATAATTATATCATTTTTAATAAAGTCAATAATTAGTGAAAAAAGTTCTAGCTTTGATACTATGACGTGGTGCATTGTTTTTTTTTACAAGGTTGTGGGAGTACCGTCTTGCCCCGTCCCACAGTAACACTGCCAGACCGACATTTCAGCAATCGTCTACTTCAGTATAACAATAAAATTCATAAAGCAAGTTTGGTGAAATGAGTGAAAAAAAACCAGCTGCCTCCCGGACTATAATATCGTTACATTTTTACAGTGACGGTAACGAATTCTGTTACTTTTGTTGTTATTCTTTTATATTCTTATTTTCTTATTTTATATTTTTTAATTTACTTTTTGAAAAATATTTTGTGCTCTATATCTTTTAAACTATATTCCAATAACTACTATCAGTATCGAAAATCTATAATTGATATTACATACATACATACTTTCATACATATATACAGAGTGTCTCATTTTATATTTGATAGTCAAATATTTGGAAATCGCGAGGTTTGAGAGAAAAATGTTTCAGACAAAAGTTTTGGAACTTTGAGGGGACATAAGATGATAACATTGGTTTGACTCTGAGTGGCGTCGTCAAGGTCAGGACAAGATTACTTTGAATTTTTTTTAATGGAACCCCCTAGTTTTTATTGCATATTCTTGTAGCTTATTTTGAGAGCTTTCCAAAATACATAGATAAAATGTATTTTGGTTAAGTAAATCTTGAGTTATGAAGCTTGAAAGTTACAGTACCATCGACATAAGCATTATCCAAGGTGTCCGAACAATGGCTGAAACCTTTTGAATGTTGTTCAGGATCATGATCTTGATAACATGTCAAGGCCACGATCATTGAAAATTGTTTCTCTTATTTTCAAAAAATAAAAATAATTTTCAAAAATGAAAATAAGAGAAACAATCTTCTAAAACTTTTGTTTAAAACATTTTTCTCTCAAACTTCGCAATTTCCAAATATTTGACTGTCAAATATAAAATGGGACACCCTGTATATGTATATATACAATATATACTAGATTTTTAATACAGAGAATATTGGAATGCACTCTTAATGACATTAATGTTTTAAAACATTAAATTTAATCTAACTTTTTATAAAAATAAATAATATAAAGGAAAACTTGATCCATACATTGATTTGTCTAGAGAGTTTCAAGTTATAATATTTATTATATTTAATAATAATTATCAAATAACATAAACTTAAAATTTAATAAATACAGAAATTTTAAAATATCTCTAAGATAACAAATAAAAAATGAGAATAGCGCGTGCCTATGAGAGCCAACGCAGGTGTTTATTAATAATAAATGTATTAAATGTATTAATAATAAAAATATTTTCTCTTTCGCTCTCTCTTTTTCTTTTCTCTCTGGCTCTTAATTATAGTAATATACTTATTGTTAGTACTTTTTTCAATTTTGTTTATTGTAAATTATTTTTTGCAGTTAGTATTTTTATTGCCTTTCTAATATACGAGGGGTGTTCAAGTCAAACCGGGATTCTTAATTTTATGAGCAGAAGAAGAGATCCTGAGTGAATCTTATTAATCATGCTGATTAGTTACAAGTGTCTTCTAACGCCGTATGGTGGCGTTAATGTCGCGAGCCACGCGAATTACTTTTTAAGCAATGTGGTGCGCAACCATGTCAGTTCAAAAACTGAATAGTGTGTTGTAAAGAAATTCCTCGTGAACGAAGACGTAAAATCTAGTGAAAATCATAGAAGACTTCACATTACATAGAGATCAGACTCTTAATTAGCCGCAATAAAACATTTGAATGGTGCATTTTTAGGACGGCCGTAAATCAGTGGGCACCGATCTGCCTCGGCCGGGATCGTCACTCACTGATTTACGGCCGACCTTAAAATGGTATCATTCAAATGTTTTATTGCGGCTAAAAGTCAGATCTCCGTACTGTGGTTGAAGTCTTCTGTGAATTTCACTATGTTTTACGTCTTCGTTCACGAGGAATTTCTTTACAACAACGCTGTTTAGTTTTTGAACTGACATGGTTGCGCGCCATATTGCTTAAAAAGTAATTCGCGTGGCCCGCGACATTAACGCTACTATACGGCGTAGAAGACACTTGTAACTAATCAGCATGATTAATAAGATTCACCCAGGATCTCTTCTTCTGCTCATAAAATTAAAAGTCCCGGTTTGATTTGAACGCCCCTCGTACATAATTTTTGAGTAAAGTAAAAATATTAAAAAATTTCTTGTTTTTATAATTTCTTTCTTTAAAATTTTTGCAAGTATATAATACTGAAAAATTTTAACACTTGATATTTTTTGTTAGGTACTTAACGAATAAAGTAGATCGTTGCGTAACTGGTTTAGTGGCTCAACAACAATGCGTTGGTCCTTTGCATACCCCTCTGGCAGACGTTGCTGTGACAGCTATTTCGTATTTTTCTACTAAGGGCATTGCAACTTCTATTGGTGAACAGCCGATTAAAGGATTAGTGAACGAAGCAGCCGGCGCCCGAATGACAATAATTGAAGCTCTTAGCAATTTGGTATTTGCGCGAATTTCTGCATTGCAAGATGTTAAATGTAGTGGTAATTGGATGTGGCCGGCAAAACTTCCGGGTGAAGGCGCGGCACTCTATAAGACTTGCTCGGCGATGTGTTCACTAATGAAGGAACTTGGGATCGCAATTGATGGCGGTAAAGACTCGCTCAGCATGGCTACACGTATTAACAAAGATATTGTCAAGGCACCCGGTACTCTCGTCATATCTTGCTATGCACCGTGTCCTGACGTTTATCAAGTAATCACTCCGGATCTTAAAGCACCCGCTATGGGAAGACAAGGTTGTCTGCTCTTTATTGATTTGTCTTATGGCAAGAACCGACTTGGAGGAACAGCCCTGTCTCAGGTTTATTGTCAATTAGGCAATGATGTGCCGGACATCGAAAACACGCAAGCATTTAAAAATGCCTTTAATGTTATACAACAATTAATCGCCGATAAGAAAGTCTTTGCCGGTCATGATATTAGCGATGGTGGACTGATTACATGTCTTTTAGAAATGTGCTTTGCTGGAATCTCTGGAGTAAACATTGATATAACTCATAAATCTGCACCTGCCATTGACATTTTATTTTCCGAAGAGGTTGGTTGGATATTGGAAATTGATGAAAAATATCAAGATGAAGTAATGAAAATGTTTCAATGCTACGAAGTTCCAGTATATTTAATTGGAAAGTCTGTGGAACTTGGAATGAACTCAAAGGTGATCGTTAAAGTTCGAAATGAAGTTGTATTGAGCACTACAGTAATCGATTCAATGAGTATTTGGGAAGAAACTAGTTATCAATTGGAACGCCATCAAACAAACATCACTTGTGCCTTGGAAGAATTTTCGAGACTACGGGAACGAACTGTTCCAGCCTATCGTCTTAATTTCGACCCCGTTAGATCTCATCCGATACTAAAGAATACATTAGAACGTGTCAGGGTAGCTGTCATAAGAGAGGAAGGGATTAATGGGGACAGAGAAATGGCAGCTTCTCTATTAGAAGCCGGCTTCGATGTTTGGGATGTTACGATGCAAGATTTGCTGGAAAACCAAGTGACATTGGAAGTATTCAGGGGTGTTATCTTTCCCGGTGGTTTCAGCTATGCCGATGTTTGTGGCTCCGCCAAAGGATGGGCAGCCAGTTTTCTCTTTCATCCATCTCTACGTGAGCAATTACGGCGATTTGTTTCTCGTGAAAATACATTTAGTTTGGGTGTTTGCAATGGTTGTCAGTTGATGAGCCTATTAGGCTGGGTGGGTGACGAGGACACTAAAGACAGATCTGGAGTTTATTTAGATCATAACCTCTCGGAAAGATTCGAATGCAGATGGACCACTGTTAGAATTGAGAACTCACCGTCGATCATGTTAAAAGGCATGCAGGATAGCGTGCTAGGTGTATGGGTAGCTCATGGAGAGGGACGATTCATTTTCCGTGAAGAAGTTTCGAAAACTCTTGAGCAGAATAATTGTGTAGCAATCAGGTATGTTCTCACATTTTAATGTATATTTTAAACAAATAAATTATTTTTTTCAGACTGATTTTCAGGAAATGACGTGAAAAATAAAGAATTTTATATAAGTCTAAAATCTTAATTATTATTAAAATGTAACTTCATGTAAAGTATAAAAACTTAAAAAAACACTTTAAAATTTTATTTTTCTTCATGAAAAAAATGATGATCAGTTGGGCGATTGATAAGTTGAAGATTGTCGGGTTACTATTAAGTACTCGATGGCCGTTATATCTAAATAAGTTTTAAGCTATATTTTACAGTAAAATACTTGAGCACTCTCAAATTTTTAATATGTTCTATGTTGTCACCTCTCTGGTTTTCAGCCAGAGACTCCAGCTTTTTGAATGTATATCTGGGCAGATTAAAAAAGTATCCGGTTCAAATTTTCGCCAAATCTGATCTTTTTGTAAGAGGAAACATTAAAAGAAAATAATTTAAATAATCGATGGCAAAAAAGGCTATTGATCTTTGGCGGAACAATGATTGAAAAATGGTACTATATTGTGTAACAAAAATAATTTTTTTTACAATTAAATTATTGATATGTCTGTAAAAATAGAAATGAAATTTAAAAAAAAGTATATTCCGTTTCATCAAGATTATTTGCATTTTTTAATGTAGATATATTTGAAATTTAGAGAATGTCACTTCGGCCGGGGTGCAAAATGAATTTTATGCAAAATTTGTCTCTGAATCCGAAAATAATAAAGTTAAAACGATTGAGGCAAAGAAATAATTTCTTTGTAAATGTTATTGAAAAAGATATACAGGGTGATCCAGGTCACCCGGAGGAGCCGGCATCTACGTATTCCTTATGAAAAACTGAGTCGAAAATGTTAATAGCAAAATGTTGAAGTGTCAATGGTTTTTGAATAGTGAGCTGTTGAAACTGTCCAACCATAAAGCATTAAGAGCGCGCCGTCAGGTGCGGCGCATTAAATCGACGATCGGCCGGCGCGCGGGTACGGTAATATTGATTTTGTTTATTAATTTATTCGTTTCTAAATTAAATTAATCAATTAATTTAATCGTTTTAAAATACATAAAATGTATTTTAAGA